GGAGAGACTGTTGAGTTTGCTAGAGAGAATTGTTGAGAAATTATAAATAAAAATGTATTTTGATAAGTGTGATTTGAACTATATGCATATTGAAATACGATGATGAACACTATTAACACAAAATAAATGTAATCAACTAGACGTTTATAAAGAAAACAATATATACATACATTCAACAATTAATTTTTAGATTTATATAATCAATTGTTTTGTTCTTATTTAAATAGGACAAAACAGATAATTCAAACATTTAGTAGTCGTGGTCCCGAAGAGCTGGTAGCCTGGCCCTTGGGGTGGAAAGTGCTGCTGCCATCCGTCCACGCAGCTCCTGTCCACACTGCTGATCAGGCTGGTGCTGCTGATGCTGGTCCTGCTCATCATCAGGCCCTGGCTCCTCTTCCACTGGCTCCCAGAGAACACCATCGCTGATGCAGATGTTGTACAGGATGGTGCAAAGGTGGGTTGGACTTCCAGTGCCTTAAAAAAAATGGATCGCCATCTTGCTTTCATCATACCAAACGCTCTCTCTATTACAGATCGTGCCCGTGCATGGTGCCGGTTGAAGCGGGCTTCCACTGGGCTCCGAACAGGCTCTCTGTATGGAGTGAGGAGTGTGATGGGCTGACGGAGGCAAGGGTAGCCACCATCCCCAAGGAGGACGTGTCCATTTGGGGGATAGAGCCGGTGGACGTAGAGGGGGCTGTTTTTAAGCACTCGAGAATCGTGCACAGATCCGGGGAAGCCAACAAACAAATCAATAAATAAGCCACGGTGATTACACACAGCCTGCATTTGAATAGAATAAAACAATTTCCTGTTAAAATAACACTGTGCATTTTCTTGAAGGGGCTTTATTCTAATGTGGCAGCCGTCGATGCTCCCCACAACATTATTGAGAGCAGCTGATCCAGCCAGCAACTGAAACCCAGCTGCAACTTGGGGAAGTTCCTCCAGGGAAGGGAAATGAATTATTTGGCCACGCATTTGAAGGATCTGGTTGGCCACGCTGTGGATCACATCGTGGACTGTGGACTGGGGCATGTCAAATGCCCTGGCGACAACACGGTACGTGGTGCCACTGGCCAACCAAAAGAGGAAGACCAAAACCTCCATGTCCTGGCTCCAGCCCTGGTGATGAGCACTCCTCAGGTGGCTAACCAGACGGGTGATGGTGGTTCGAGTGAGCCGAAAATCGGGGCGAAGGTCAGACTGGCCATTTAAGTACATGCTGAGTAGGGGTACATGGTTCAGTCGGCAGTACACCGGTGGTTCACCCTAAAACAAAACACAAATTCTCTTAAACTTAATATGATACTTCTAGATTCATTTTTTAATTCTGTATCTGCACTTTTAGTTATGAGTGCAGACACAGGAATAAGTACTCATTTTTCATTTTGAGATTTAAAAATGTAAATAAAAATGAAGCGTATATAGCTGTAGTCATGTTCTTTTGTGCCCTGGCATTGATTTTACCAAATGTATTGTGTGTTGCAGGGAGCTGGAGCTGCCCTGAGACAACTGAAGTAGAAACCCTCAGCCTACATCACTCGCACCTAATAACACACACAAAAATCACAGAAGCCCTGTGCCCCATGGCCAAGCAAATTCTATTATTGTTTAATGATTAAGTACTCATTTTTCATTTAGAAAAAATGAGTACTTAATCCATTTCCCTTGCTATGGTTTTGTGTTCTTTCAACCAATAAAATATTTTAATGTTCTTGCATTTTAAGTGAGTGTGTCTATACAATGTGTTTTCTTGTTGAAATATGTCTAAATGTATATGACTAATGTGTTTCTCATTGACTGAGAATAGTATTTTTAATTAGTAAGTACACCAAAAGTACTATAATTTACCCAGTAGATGGTGCCAATGCTATATAGACAAAGGACGAATACAATACTTACACGACGCCTTGCTAATGAAAGAAGAGCCATTCTCCTCCTCATCGCCTGTCTTCGCCTTCTCTCTGTTAGGCGGTTTTTAATTCGCATTTTGAGAAGTTTTATAATTGTTAACAAAAACACCGCAAAATTCAGTGGAGGTGCCATTTCACCAGTGTTAGAGGAGCCGGTCAGGTGGCGGGAATATGAAAGACGTTAAGCGAATAAGTCAACCAAAATTCATAAATATGAATATAAATTGTAAAAACATTTTATACATGTATATTAGACAAATATTGATATTTTAATATACTTTTATTTATATATAAAATTATATTGATCCAATGACATGTGACAGGGGTGTGATGTGGGCCGCGGCTAAAAATAGTGTGCAGCTGTCCGAATCGCCAAATGAGTGCACTGACTCACTCACTCAGTCGCTATATAGTCCCGAACTATATAGTGAGTGAATAGGGTATACATAGTTCCCACAGACCAATGAATGTCACATGACCTCCTCGGAGACGCCATCTTTGATGGCACGCTGCTGTGTTTGTGCATTCCATTAAACAGAAGAATGAGAATAAATGTAGATATTCAAACGCAAATTGGAAAAAAAGGGCAACTTTTGAGCAAATAATTGTATATTAATACAATGGCCCCACAGTTTAACGTGCTACGGACATGTTTTACATATTTGATCAAATTATGCAGCAAAAATTAACAAGCAATGCAAACATTTCTCAAAAACTTTAGATTTAATACCAGTTGGAGCTCCATTTAATTATTTTAATTATATTAACAATTAATTTAATTAATGCTAATGCCACACGGACACTCTGGATTGCTGTTATTGTTTATTTCCGCGTTTTTGACCGTATGTTTTGGTGAATGGTGGGCAACTGATTTTTCCAGGCGTAAAGAGCAGTTTATTTTATGACACAGATCTTTTTACAGAAGCAATGCTGTTTGTGAACATTGTTTTAGCCCACCATAGAACTATTATTATCTATTCAATACATTTACGTTGCCCTCGAGAGCCTCGGACGCGACACCAATCCTCCTCATAATAAAGTAATCTAAATAATGAAACTCTCAAGTTACCAGATATCAGCATACACAAGTTAGTACTGAGTAAATTACGTCTGTCAACACATTATGAGATACGATACGCACCTGACACAAAGTGCTCCGAGCATATTCTTGCGTGTTTTGAGGGAGTTTCTTGCCTGTTTATCTTCGCAAGCGCCGTTTGCAAACTATGTATACATAGTTCCCACATGACGTCACTACATACGGGGATTTGCCGACCCGGCGACATTTGTATTGGCATGCTGTGGGCAAAACAATAGAAAAAGAAGCTGAAACGTGTTAATGTCGTGATAAAGTTGAAAATGGTCATCTCCTGCTGGGTCAATGGATGTTCAAATCGTGCCGGAGGTTCCGTTAAACTTGGATTTTACAGTATACCCATCATTAGACTTCATGAATGTGAGAAGACTAAGCTTTTGTCAGAACAACGACGGAGGTTATGGCTTGCGAAGATAAACAGGCAAGAAACTCCCTCAAAACACGCAAGAATATGCTCGGAGCACTTTGTGTCAGGTGCGTATCGTATCTTATAATGTGTTGACAGACGTAATTTACTCAGTACTAACTTGTGTATGCTGATAGCTGGTAACTTGAGAGTTTCATTATTTAGCGTTAGATTACTTTATTATGAGGAGGATCGGTGTCGCGTCCGAGGCTCTCGAGGGCAACGTAAATGTATTAAATAGATAATAATAGTTCTATGGTGGGCTAAAACAATGTTCACAAACAGCATTGCTTCTGTAAAAAGATCTGTGTCATAAAATAAACTGATCTTTACGCCTGGAAAAATCAGTTGCCCACCATTCACCAAAACATACGGTCAAAAACGCGGAAATAAACAATAACAGCAATCCAGAGTGTCCGTGTGGCATTAGCATTAATTAAATTAATTGTTAATATAATTAAAATAATTAAATGGAGCTCCAACTGGTATTAAATCTAAAGTTTTTAATAATAATAATAATGCATCGGTTTTATATAGCGCTTTTTTGGACACTCAAAGACGCTTCACATGTGTCATTATTCATTCACTCCATACACGGTGGTGATAAACTACTGCTGTAGCCACAGCTGCCTTGGGGCACACTGACAGAAGCGAGGCAACCAGTATGCGCCATCGGCCCCTCCGACCACCACCAATCATTCATACACACACCAGACTCATTCTAGGCAATGGGGGTGAAGTGTCTTGCCTAAGGACACAACAGCAGTTTGGCACTTTACAGCCGCAGCCGCCCCACTGTGGCTGGTGTTCCCAGAGGTTAAGTGTCTTGCCAAGGACACAACGACAGTAGTCGGTGGGAGTCGATGGTGAAGGTCTTGAGCGGGGCTTGAACCCACGACCTTCTGGCTCAAAGGCCAACGCTCTACCAACTGAGCTACTGCCACCCAAATACAAACATTTTTGAGAAATGTTTGCATTGCTTGTTAATTTTTGCTGCATAATTTGATCAAATATGTAAAACATGTCCGTAGCACGTTAAACTGTGGTGCCATTGTATTAATATACAATTATTTGCTCAAAAGTTGCCCTTTTTTTCCAATTTGCGTTTGAATATCTACATTTATTCTCATTCTTCTGTTTAATGGAATGCACAAACACAGCAGCGTGCCATCAAAGGTGGAGTCTCCGAGGAGGTCATGTGACATTCATTGGTCTGTGGGAACTATGTATAGTGTGGACATTCGGATACAGTTGTTTTGGGATCTGACGTTTTGGCCCCGCCCCTTATGCCGGAAGTGTAGTCCAGAGATCAGCTGACCGTTGTTTGCTCCTGATCTGTCGCGCTCTGAAGAGTCTACTTTCGGTCTAAATACGGTGTAAATACGGTCTAAACCGGGTCTGGAGCAGCTGGAGCATCCATCCCTGGGTGTCCTCAGAAGGCGCCGTTAGACCTCGGCTCTCCGTCACATCCTTGTCGGTCCTCCTGCGACACCGAGGGGCTTTGGGCTCGTAGCTCAGGCCGGTGCTGCTCGAGGATCTTCGGTCCCAACCTGGAGGCTCGCCCCGTGTGCTCGCAGAGATGTCCGGGAACAACCTGGTCCTCCCCATCGTGCTGTGGGGCCGTGCGGCTCCCACACACTGCGTCAGTAGCCTCCTGGTCCTGGACGACTGCAGCGCGGTCATCACGGGCTGTCATGACGGCCAGATCTGCCTGTGGGACACGACCCCGGAGCTGGAGGTACTGTGTCCTCATGAGGTGTACATGTGGTATACACTCTATGGTCTAGATATGGTTCACACACTATGGTCTACAGACTATGGTCTATATATAGTACATAAAATATGGTCCACACTTGTCTCTAAGTTGTCAAGTTACCAACAACAGATCAGATAATAGCTTATGTTATGATGTGACAGAAAGAGACGAGAGAGAGACCAGTGAGAGAGAGAGACCAGTGAGGGAGAGAGAGACCAGTGAGAGATGCCAGAGGGAGATTAAATCACCCATTTTTACTGTTTGCAGATGTGTCCCAGGGCCATGCTGTTCGGACACACTTCCTCCATTACATGTTTGGCTAAAGCTAGCGCTTGTGCGGAGAAACAGTACATTGTTAGCGCCTCTGAGAACGGGTGAGTCCTGCTAACATTTACCTCACGCTCTGACCCCTCTTGCTGTTTATGAAAATTAAAATTAGTTGGGAGAATCTACTTGGGAGAATCTACTTACGTGTGTGTTCGTTTGTGTGTTCGTTTGTGTGTTCGTTTGTGTGTTCGTTGTGCAGAGAGATGTGTCTTTGGGACGTGAACGACGGCAGATGCATCGAGTTCACCAAACTGAACTGTGCCCACACCGACATCCAGGTACCAGCTCTCTCTCTCTGGTCTCTCTCTGGTCTCTCTCTGGTCTCTCTCTGGTCTCTCTCTGGTCTCTCTCTGGTCTCTCTCTGGTCTCTCTCTGGTCTCTCTCTGGTCCCTCTTAGCTCTCTCTCTGGTCTCTCTCTGGTCCCTCTTTGCTCTCTCTCTGGTCTCTCTCTGGTCCCTCTTTGCTCTCTCTCTGGTCCCTCTCTGCTCTCTGGTCTCTCTTTCTGGTCTCTCTCTGGTCCCTCTTTGCTCTCTCTCTGCTCGCTCTCTGCTCCCTCTTTGCTCTCTCTCTGGTCCCTCTTTGCTCTCTCTCTGGTCTCTCTCTGGTCCCTCTCTGCTCTCTGGTCTCTCTCTCTCTGGTCGGTCTCTCTCTGGTCCCTTTTTGCTCTCTCTCTGGTCTCTCTCTGGTCCGTCTTTGCTCTCTCTCTTGTCTCTCTCTGGTCCCTCATTGCTCTCTCTCTGGTCTCTCTCGCTGGTCTCTCTGGTCTCTCTCTGGTCTCTGTCTGGTCTCTCTCTCTGGTCCCTCTTTGCTCTCTCTCTGGTCTCTCTCTGGTCCCTCTTTGCTCTCTCTCTGGTCTCTCTCGCTGGTCTCTCTGGTCTCTCTCTGGTCTCTCTCTGGTCTCTCTTTGGTCCCTCTCTGCTCTCTCTGGTCTCTCTCTGGTCTCTCTCTGCTCTCTCTCTGGTCTCTCTCTCTGGTCTCTCTCTGGTCTCTCTCTGGTCCCTCTCTGCTCTCTCTCTCTCTCTGGTCTCTCTCTGGTCCCTCTTTGCTATCTCTCTCTGGTCTCTCTCTGGTCTCTCTCTGCTCTCTCCCTGCTCTCTACCTGCTCTCTCTCTATCTCTCTGGTCTCTCTCTGGTCCCTCACTCTGGTCCCTCTTGGCTCTCTCTGTCTGCTCTTTCTCTGGTCTCTCTCGCTGGTCTCTCTTTGGTCCCTCTCTGCTCTCTCCCTCTTTGCTCTCTCTCTCTGGTCCCTCTTTGCTCTCTCTCTCTGGTCTCTCTTTGGTCTCTCCCTGCTCTCTCTTTGGTCTCTCTCTCTTGTCTCTCTCTGGTCTCTCCCTGCTCTCTCTCTCGCTGCTCTCTCTCTGGTCCCTCTTTGCTCTCTCTCTCTCTGGTCTCTCTCTGGTCTCTCTCTGGTCTCTCTCTCTGGTCTCTCTCTCTCTCTGTCAGACGTGTGTTTGATGTGTGTGTGTGTCCCAATGTCAGTTTTACCAGTTCACCATCGGGACGCAGAAGGAGGGCCGACTGCTCTGTAACGGTCACTACCCTGAGATCCTGGTGCTGGACGCCACCAGTCTGGAGGTGCTCTACTCCCTGGTCTCCAAGATCTCCCCCGACTGGATCAGCGCCATGAGCATCATCCGCTCCCATCGCACACAAGGTCTCAGGCCACTTACCTGGAGAGACCCGAGGGAGAGACCCGAGGGAGAGACCCGAGGGAGAGACCCGAGGGAGAGACCCGAGGGAGAGACCCGAGGGAGAGACCCGAGGGAGAGACCAGAGGGAGAGACCAGAGGGAGAGACCAGAGGGAGAGACCAGAGGGAGAGACCAGAGGGAGAGACCAGAGGGAGAGACCAGACCACTTATCAGGGCACAACAAACCGTCTTCATCTTATATGCATGTGAAAACTGGAAGAAGTTAGATGCTTGTGTTTTAAAAGTTAGGTACCCGAGCTTTAATCATATGCATCTGTGCTGTTTGCAGATGTGTCTCAGGGCTATGCTGTTCAGACACACTTTGTGCTCTCTCTCTGGTCTCTCTCTCTTTTCTCTCTCTCTGGTGTCTCTTTCTCTCTGGTCTCTCCCTCTCTGGTCTCGCTCTCTGGTCTCTCTCTCTGTTCTCTCTCTCTCTGGTCTTGCTCTCTGGTCTTGCTCTCTGGTCTCGCTCTCGGGTCTCGCTCTCTGGTCTCGCTCTCTGGTCTCGCTCTCTGGTCTCACTCTCTGGTCTCGCTCTCTGATCTTGCTCTCTGGTCTCTCTCTCTCTGGTCTCTTGCTCTCTGGTCTCTCTCTCTGGTCTCTCTCTGTCTCTGGTCTCTCTCTCTTGCCTTGCTCTCTGGTCTCTCTCTCTCTCTGGTCTTTCTCTCTCTGGTCTCTCTCTCTCTGGTCTCTCTCTCTCTGGTCTTGCTCTCTGGTCTTGCTCTCTGGTCTCTCTCTCTCTGGTCTCTCTCTCTCTGGTCTCTCTCTCTCTGGTCTTGCTCTCTGGTCTCTCTCTCTCTGGTCTCTCTCTCTCTGGTCTCTCTCTCTCTGGTCTTGCTCTCTGGTCTCTCTCTCTGGTCTCTCTCTTTCTGGTCTCTCCCTCTCTGGTCTCGCTCTCTGGTCTCTCTCTCTCTCTGGTGTGAGCGTTGGATTGACGTGTGCTTTGTTCCACAGAGGACACAGTCGTGGCCGTCTCAGTGACCGGGATCCTCAAGGTGTGGATCATCACGGCCGAGGTCAGCCGCATGCAGGTACACCACCTACACCACCTCAGCAGGTACACCATCTACACCACCAACACCAACCCAGCAGGTACACCACCTTACCTGTTTGATGGAGCCATTGGTTCATGAGAATTTGGACGACCACTGTCCATAAATAATCCTCTGTCCTTACACCCTCCTGCATGGGTAAGGAACCACTGCAAAAAGCAGTGAGAAACAAATGAGAGAAACCTTCAGGAAGGCCCATATTGAGAGAGGGATCCCCTCCCACTGATCCAGGACTGAGGCTGTAGACCCAGGATTGAGGCTGTAGACCCAGGACCCAGATAACGTAGACAAGAAAATAGTCTTAAAGGTCCACTTTTCTCCAGCAGGGGACTCCATATGCAACTTGACTGAGTGCCATAGATGTCCTCCACAGCAGACTCTTGCTTTTGCAATGTTAACAAGCAGCAGTTGAAGAAGTCTGACTACTATGGTCTCTTTCCATCATGTGACCTGTATGTGGCCCTGATCTGTGTTTAGGACTTGGACCCTGTCTTTGAAGATGAGTCCAAACCCATCCACTGCCAGAGCTGCCAAAGCATCTCCTTCTGCCACTTCACCCAGAACAGTCTGCTGGTGGTCTGCTCCAAATACTGGCGGGTACGTGTGTTTGTCCCCCTCTGGTCTCCCTCTGGTCTCCCTCTGGTCTCCCTCTGGTCTCTCTCTGGGCTCCCTCTGGTCTCTCTCTGGGCTCCCTCTGGCCTCCCTCTGGTCTCTCTCTGGGCTCTCTCTGGTCTCTCTCTGGTCTCTCTCTGGTCTCTCTCTGGTCTCTCTCTGGTCTCTCTCTGGTCTCTCTCTGGTCTCTCTCTGGTCTCTTTATGGGCTTCCTCTGGTCTCTCTCTGGGCTCCCTCTGATCTCTCTCTGGTCTCCCTCTGGTCTCCCTCTGGTCTACCTCTGGTCTACCTCTGGTCTACCTCTGGTCTACCTCTGGTCTACCTCTGGTCTACCTCTGGTCACTCTATGGTCTCTGTTTCTAATACTGTGTGTGTGTGTGTATTTGTACGTCTGTGTGTGTGTGTAGGTGTTGGACGTGGCTGACTACTCTGTGCTCTGCTCTGTGAACTGTGAGCCTGATCAGTCCTGGACTGGAGGGGACTTCTTATCTGCAGACAAAGTGATCATCTGGACCGAAGACGGCTGCAGCTACATCTACACACTCCCCCCCAGGTCTCCCCCTTCTACACACTCCCCCCACAGGTCTCCCCCCAGAGAGAGAGAGAGAGAGACCAGAGAGAGAGAGACCAGAGACACACTCCCCCCCCCAGGTCTCCCCCCAACCAGAAAAGAGAGACCAGAGAGAGAGAGAGACCAGAGACACACTCCCCCCCCCAGGTCTCCCCCCAACCAGAGAGACTAGAGAGAAAGAGAGACCAGAGACACACTCCCCCCCCAGGTCTCCCCCCAACCAGAGAGACCAGAGAGAAAGAGAGACCAAGACACACACACCCCCCCCCCCCCCCCCCCCCCAGGTCTCCCCCCAACCAGAGAGAGAGAGACCAGAGAGAGAGAGACCAGAGAGAGAGAGACCAGAGAGAGAGAGAGACCAGAGAGAGAGAGACCAGAGAGAGAGAGAGACCAGAGAGAGAGAGAGACCAGAGAGAGAGAGAGACCAGAGAGAGAGAGACCAGAGAGAGAGAGAGAGAGAGACCAGAGAGAGAGAGAGAGACCAGAGAGAGGGATCAGAGAGAAAATAAAAAGTTCTGAAAAAGCTGATCTAAAGATGTGACAAAAATACATGCACATGAAAACTAGTGATTAACACAAACTGTTTAATAAAATGTTTGTGTTGAAAATGAGGTACCCGAGCTTTAATGCAAGTGGTGCACATGATTAGAATCCCACTCTCACACTCAGTACAAGAAACTGCTTCTTTGGTGAAGAGTCTTTGAGGACTGTTGTGTTGTGCCTCATGTCTGCAGTTGCCTGTCCGCCAGCGAACATTTCCGCAGTGACGTGGGCAAGACCAAAGAGGGCGCTGTGCCCCCTCTCATCTACAAGATGGCTGAGCATCCAGACAGAAAGGTCTCAATCTCTGTATGAAGTGTCTGTTTCCCCACATACTCTGTGCACAATGTGTTTTTGATATTTTCTACAAGCCAAAATGATTAAAAAATAGTACTTTTTCAAATTTGAGGAGATACACAACAAATTAAAGCAACAAGCGGCGTCAAACAGCCCTCGCCGCACCGCGCGTCTCCCCGCGCGTCTCCCTACGACAAACTTGACCTCCGAAAACTCCCATAGGGGTATTATTTTGGCTGTTGTAGGTGGCGCTGTTCTAGCATTTTTTGAGTCCCAAAAAAATAAACACCCAAATATCAAATCTTTCGCCAGGTCTAATTTAACAACTTTTCATGCATGTTCAGGGGGTGAAATTAAGGCTCAAAGTGCAGAATTTGACATCTCTCGAGCAAAAACAATACATAAATAAAAAATAATCAAGGAATTTTTTTTTGACGTCTCGAGCAAAAACAATATAGGTTTTAATGGCACCTTATACATCATTTTCTCTGTTTCATATGTTTATTGGTATGCATACAACAAAACCGTGAAGGCACTTGGGTAATAATAACAAACATATTTGTATACAACTTTAACATTTTTATATATAAAAATAAAAAGAATAAAAGGAAATACAAATGATTCCAATATAAATGGATATATTCAAAGTATGTGCAGAAAAAAGAAAATACAGTAATTGGTATGTTATTTAAATAAATGTATATATGTGTGCCTACACACGCACACATACACATTCAGCATAATGAACTCACTGTATATTGCACTAGTATAAAACTTTACAGTCCGAAAATAATAATAAAATAAATGTAAAAAAAAAGCAAGCAAAAAAAAAACAAAAAACAAAAAGGGTGTGTGTTGGGATTAGGCCTAGTTAGCCTGAAAAAATTGCATAAATGGTTGCCACTTCTTATGAAATTTGACAAAATTACCTTGTTTAGAATATCTTATTTTTTCTAGTTTTAGAAAAGACATGACATCCGTGGTCCAAAGTGTATTGGATGGGGCATTTGTTGCTTTCCAATTAAGAAGAAGTGAAAAGCCAGGACCTCTAACTGAACTGATGAAAAACGGTGGTAATCTTGAGGCATACCAAAAACAGCTACATGTGGAGAGATATCAATGGCCTTGAGTAGCACTTTAGACATAGTGTCAAAATAAATTTGCCAAATATTTCCTAGAGTTGGGCAAGAGAAAAACATATGTGCAAGATTACAGGGTGAACCAGAACATCTGTCACAGACATCAATTGTATTTGGGAAAATTTGTGATAATCGGGTTTTCGAATAGTGACATCGGAACACTACTTTGAATTGTATTAAGGTCAAGCGGGCACAAATGGAGGTTTTGTGAATACGGCCTAAAACCAAGTCCCACCAATCAGCATCGAAGGTCAGCTCTTTGTCCCAAGCCTCCTTCGTCCCGGAGTTTAAATGATCATCGTAGGACTGGATAGTACCATAGACTTTTGAAATTAAAGATCTTTGTGATAGATTTAATTGTAAAAGATCCTTCCATGTCTGCTCAGGTGGAAGTTGTGGAAAACTAGGAAATAAAACTTTTACACAGTTCCTAATTTGAAAGTACCTAAAAAGATGTGATGGTGGGAGGCCGAACTCGTTAGCTAGGTCTGTAAAGCAATAGAAAACCCTCTTTATAAAAATCTTGAAAACATTTTAGACCCTTATCATGCCATAAGGTGAAAGTAGAGTCAGTAAATGCAGGTTTGAACGCATAATTCCTCAATAGTGGACTTGATGTGGTGGGAGTGAGAAATTTAAACTGTTTCCTAAACTGAAACCATATCTTTAATGTGGAAGTGACCACTAGGTTACTAGTAAAGCCAGAGGGGTTGACTGAAGCTGCGCCAGACAGTATCGCCAATAAAGAGGACGAAGGACATGAATGTCCAACTGACACCAAGGTATATTAACCAGTCTAAGCCAAAATGTAGTTTTTGTTATGTTCGTAGCCCAATAATAAAATTTGAAATTTGGTAGGGAGAGACCACCATCAAATTTGCAATTCTGAAGTACTTTTCGCCTAATTCTGGGAGTCTTACCATTCCACAGAAATGTAGATATAATCGAATCAATGCTTCTGAAAAAACCTTTGGATAGAAATATATAGGTAGGCATTGGAACAGAAACAAGAATTTTGGGAGGACATTCATTTTAATCTGATCTACCGATCAGAGAAAGAGGAAGGGAACCCCATCTTTGGAAATCAGCCTTAATCTCAGTCAATAGGGGAGTAAAATTTACAGAATAAAGCGATTTATAGGACCTGGCCACATTAACCCCCAGATACTTAAATCCTGTAGAACTCAGTTTGAAGGGGATATCAGATTGAGATATTTGCATTGCTAGGGCATTGATTCATTCACTCTTCGAGACATTAATCTTGTATCCCGAAAACGAACCGAATCTATGAAAAAAGGAAAGAATAACGGGACTTGCCCCTACTGGATTTGTGACATACAGTAGCAGATCGTCAGCATATAAAGAAAGTTTGAATTCGACACGGGAAAGTGTAATGCCGTTAAAAATGGGGAAAGACCTCAAATGAATGGACAAAGGCTCTATTGCAAGAGCGAAGAGGAGGGGAGACAGAGGACAACCTTGTTTACAGCCGCGATTTAAGGAGAAATAACTAGATTGAACCTTATTAGTTGTAATACTGACACAGGGTGATGTATAGAGGAGGCGTATCCATGACATGAAACCATGACCAAATCCAAATTTCATTAAAACCGAAAGGAAGTAGCTCCATTCGACTCTATCGAACGCCTTTTCTGCGTCAATAGAGATGACAACTTCTGGAGTGGTAGCGCTTCCTTTTGAGTAGATAACATCTAATAAGGTACGGACATTATAAAAAAGCTGACGTCCTTTAATGAAGCCCGTTTGCTCCTGAGAAATTGTTTTTGGAAGCACCTTCTCTAGACGACGTGCCAAAGCTTTTGCGAGAATCTTGGTATCAACATTCATCAAAGAGATAGGTCTATAAGAGGTGCAAAGTTCGGGATCCTTGCCCTTTTCAGAAGAACACTAATAGAAGCCTGTCTCAAAGTAAGCGGAAGAGCGCCATTGGACAAAGATTCCAGATAAACAGCATGTAACAGCGGGATGAGTTGATTGTGAAATGCCTTGAAAAATTCAACCGGGAACCCATCTGGCCCAGGTGCCTTGTTATTTTGCATATTTTGTACAGCCAATAGAAGTTCCTGCGTAGTCAATGAAGAATCTAATTGATTAATTGCATCTGTGTCCATATTTGGGAAATCCAGATCTTGCAAAAACGCGTCCATATCAGTCAAGTCCACTGGAGATTCAGAACTATACAGGGATTTATAAAAAGATGAAAATACCGAATTAATAAGGGCCGGTTCCTCAACCAACATTCCCAACTCATCTTTAACACGAGGTATTAAACGCGAGGCTGCTTGTCGAAGTAGTTGGTGAGCTAGTAATCTTCCAGATTTGTCTCCATATTCGTATTTGGACCGAGAATGTAGAAGTAGCCGCTCCGCTTCATTAGTTGTGATCAAGTCCAAATCTGTTTTCAATACCACACGCTGCTTTAATAAATCAGGATTCGGGGAGGAAGCAAGCTGTTGATCCACTGATTCCAGATCGGCTGATAATTTTTGAATAGTTAAGTCTCAATTTCTTCACATGAGCGGAATAAGAAATAATCTGACCCCGTAAGTATGCCTTTAAAGATTCCCACAGGAGCGCCTTAGAAATAGGTTCTGATTCGGATTGGTTAAGAGATACAAAGTCTTCAATTGTACTTATAATAAATTTGTGAAATTTGTCATCAGACAAAAGAGATGTGTTGAATCTCCAATGGGTTGGGTAACGAGATTCAGATGAGATCTGAATGTCCAAGGTTACAGGCGAATGATCTGAAATAATAATAGGATGATAAGAAGTATCTGTCACCTTGGGCATCAGTCTGGCATCAATAAAAAAAATAGTCAATACGGGAGAATGTCTGGTGAACATGTGAATAGAAGGAGTATCGTCTGTCAGTAGGATTACGAACCCTCCAGGGGTCAATGTAGCCATTATTGGACATAAAACTACAAAGAGTTTTAGCCATTTGAGACTGATTTAAGCTAGCTTTAGAGCGGTCTAGCTGTGAATTAACAACACAATTCATGTCCCCGCCAAATATAAAAAATACCTCATTTAGTGATGGTAAATTCCTAAACAAATTATAAAAAAAACTATCCATCCATCCATCCATTTTCTTCCGCTTTATCCGTTGCCGGGTCGCGGGGGCAGCAGTCTAAGCAGAGACGCCCAGACTTCCCTATCCACACACACTTCCTCCAGCTCGTCCGGGGGGACCCCAAGGCGTTCCCAGGCCAGCTGAGAGACATAGTCCCTCCAGCGTGTCCTAGGTCTTCCGCGGGGCCTCCTCCCGGTGGGACGTGCCCGGAACACCTCCCCAGGGAGGCGTCCAGGAGGCATCCGGAACAGATGCCCGAGCCACCTCAACTGGTTCCTCTCGACGTGGAGAAGCAGCGGCTCTACTCCGAGCTCCTCCCGTGTGACTGAGCTCCTCACCCTATCTCTAAGGGAGCGCCCAGCCACTCTGCGGAGGAAGCTCATTTCGACCGCTTGTATCCGCGATCTCGTTCTTTCGGTCATTACCCAAAGCTCATGACCATAGGTGAGGGAGGGAACGAAGATTGACCGGTAAATCGAGAGCTTTGCCTTTCGGCTCAGCTCCCTCTTTACCACAACGGTCCGATACAGCGACCGCATCACTGCGCACGCTGCACCGATCCGCCTGTCAATCTCACGCTCCATTCTTCCCTCACTCGTGAACAAGACCCCGAGATACTTGAACTCCTCCACTTGAGGAAGGACCTCTCCACCCACCTGAAGAGGGCAGGGCACCTTTTTCCGGTCGAGCACCATGGCCTCAGATTTGGAGGTGCTGATTCTCATCCCAGCCGCTTCACACTCGGCTGCAAACCGTCCCAGTGA